CACAACTTCTAGAGGCAAGTTGTTCCACTGATGAATTGCTCTAACTATCAGGAAATTTCTCCTCAGTTCTAAGTTGCTTCTCTCCTTGATTAGTTTCCACCCATTGCTTCTTCTCCTACCCTTTGGAGAATAGCTTGACTCCCTCTTCTTTGTGGCTGAGATACTGGAAGACTGCTATCATGTCTCCCCTAGTCCTTCTTTTCATTAAACTAGACATCCCCAGTTCCTGCAACCGTTCTTCCTATGTTTTAGCCTCCAGTCCCCTAATCCTCTTGGTTGCTCTTTTCTGCACTCTTTCCAGAGTCTCCACATCTTTTTTTACATCGTGGCGACCAAAACTCGATGCAGTATTCCAAGTGTGGCCTTACCAAGGCCTTATAAAGTGATATAAACATCTGGGAGAACAGGACTCAGAAAGCAGAATAAGCATTGAGAGTAGACCGGATCTATTAAAGTGCTTCAGATTTTGGTGTCGACGAAGGAATTTTTCCAACTGTGCTTTGAAAGTTTGCAGAGCTTATTGTACTCTTAAGTAGATAACAGGATATTTATCCCAATTACTCCCTTTAAGGTTTTGGGGCAATATCTTCCTCTTCCCACTTTCTACATTTCTGCTGGCGGCTTGATTTTCCAAGCAAATTAAAACTAAGTGGATGAGATTTAAGGGTGACCAAAAGATAGTTTGATCAGAGCTACCCCATCCCAAACACATTCTCTAGGACAAGGGGTCAGCAACCTTAAACACTCAAAGAGCCACAAAGCTCCTAAATGGAAGCCCCCCCCCCAATTCAATTCTGGAGCCAACCGGAAGTCCGTTTCCCCCACCATAGAGTCTCTTCCTAGCATGGTGTCCTTTTTCCTCTACCTGTCCTAACCGTAATCCCTATCAATTGTGGAACCGACCGGCGACAGGGAGCCGCAGCAGAGGGATGAAAGAGCCCACATGTGGCTCCGGAGCCGCAGGTTGCTGATCAATGCTCTATGGTTTGAAGGCAACCTTAAGGACAGCCATGTTGTTCCCTTTACCTCTAGATGGGAGTAGATGGACACTCCTTGAAGTTAACTTTCTGGACGCGAGAAAAGTCCGTGTTAAGGCACTTAGGAAAAAAATATTTGGAATTGAAAGCACAATGGCTATTTTAGAAGATTAGAAGTGTCGGTCAAGACAAGAGATAAAACGAAGCCCAAAGAGAATTTCAGATCTCTCCTGCAGAGAGATCCCAATAGAATCCATTCCAGTTGCAGAATCGGTATGATTTTCAGTTTTGAGCTGTCTCTGGAAGAGGCTTCCGCGTTGCTATCTGAGGCATAGTAGCGGATACGCCACGAAGTATCCGATGGCTGAGCCCACAATCACTCCCAGGAAAATCCACGTGTTGTAAGTCATGACGGCCAGCATCAACAGGTAACCCAAAAACACCTGGACCACATGGAGTAAGGTCTCCGCTAGGTGCCATGAAAGACGCCTGGTGAAAGAAAAGAAGGAAGAAAAGATTTCTTCAGAAAGCAAATAAATCAATTAAAAGAAGTTCTACCCTCTAGCTTGCCTCTGTTCTGACTTCCATTCTTCCCAAATGCAAATTTAAGAGTGCTTAACTTAATGAGAGGGATGCAGTGGCTCAGTGGCTAAGCAGCTGAGCTTGTCGATCAGAAAAGTCCCAGTGTGCGCATGTGCAGAGTGGCCAGACGAAGGGAACAGCTAAAGAACAGGGGTCGACTTGGGAGTAAGGCCACAGGTGGACAATGAGGAAATGAAAGATGAGCGAAAGGGGAATGGAGTTTGCAGGAGACAATTAGTTTGCTTCATTGGTTCCTGACTCTCCGAGACTCCTTGCCAAGTTCTGCAGATCTCAGCCTGGCAGCTCTCCAAGCCAGAGAAGGTCTGTGACCATAATTCCTCCCTTGAAAGACTTTGCTGGATGTGAAGGAGCAGAATCCACAGACAATTAATAAACAGGCTTTTTATTTTTTTAAAAAAA